GGAGAGGATGGGTCTGGGGGAGCACCGCTTATTCCATTCCTTTCCCACGTGATGATACGGACTGGGGGGTTGGGGATAGGGACTGGGGGACCTGGTCTAGCCCAAGAGCATCTCTCCTGCCCCCCAAAAAAACTTCCTCGCTTCTGGATGCCTCTGTGAGCCGCCGGGCTCAAGAGGTCTGGGCCCGCCCGGGGCAGTTTGTGCTGGCAGAAGGTGGCTGGGTCGCGGTTCCCTTGGGACACTGGGGTTTTGGACTTCAGCCCACCCGTCCCGCAGACCAACACCAATAAGGATCAACCCCCTGAGTGAACGGACGCTGCTGTCCCGGCCGAGGCGCTGGGTGCTCACCTGCATCCGGGCCAAGCTGGGGGTGGTCAGCGCTACCCTGGCGCCTGTCGGAGGACGCTCGAGGGCTGGTGCGTGCAGATCTGAGGATTTCTCAGGAGCTCGGCTTTCCCCTGCCCCATGAAATCCCTGCTCTGGGGACTGTCTGTGTCCTGCACTGGCCTGCTCCCAGTTCTCCTCTGGGGTTGGTGTCTCCCATACCACTGTAGTGAGGATTTGGATGCGATGCTGCAGGTTTGGGCCATGAGTAGCACAGGTGGAGGCAGGCAGGGCTGCCTTCATCCTGCTGGTATGAGCGTCCGTGGCTGGCACGAGTGTGCCTTGTCTTGACTGCAGTCAGTCTGCTGGCATGGCCCCTTGACCATCAGCGGGGATCATTTGCGTAGGCTGGCCCTGGGCAGCACCGGTTTGATCTGTGCCTCCTGCCAGGAGCAGGGCAGTTAGCTGAAGAGGGGAAGGGTGCACTCCCTAGCTCCCATTGCAGAGCTGATGGCCCTGAATGGAGCAGAGCAGGAGCAGAACTCCAGCTTTCTCGGCATCATCTCGGTATCCCTGCGTCTGCTGCACCAGCACTTGTCATTGAGTGTGCAGGCAGCCCCCGAGCACTGGTGGGAGTTCAGCAGCTCTGGCTGAGGTGGCTCTGAGTGATGGGACGAACAGTCATCCCCACAGCGTGGGTACAGTCTTGCCCACTGCCTGCCTGCTGCAGCCCCCAGCACTCAGCCGCAGAGAGCACCAGGGAGAGCTGCAGCAGCCCCCCCTCATCTCCCGCTCACCCAGGGCTGCTGGGGGGCAGCAAGGTATCTGCTGTGGGCTGAGGGGCTGGCTCAAGCTTCCCAGGATGGGCAAGGGGGGAATGGCCCCACAGCGGCTGTGGAAGAAGCACAGTGAGCCGTGAGGTTTGGCTGCCTTAGAGCAGAGTGATGCTGAGGGAGGCTTCCCTGTGGAGCGGTTGTGGGAGGCAGGGAGGGTGCGAAAACACCAGCGCCAACAATAACTGGGATGAACACAAGTGCTGTCAGGACCCCGGGGCTGCAGTGAGGGGTGCCCTCACTGTTAGGGGGCTGGGCATAGCCGTGGGTGGGTTTGGGGAGGGGTGCCTGCATCCATCACCTGCCCTGAGCTCTCCTTTCTCCGCAGGGCAGTGGTGTTATGACTCACAGGACCCACAATGCGGTGAGTGGTGCCACATGCGGGATGGGGGGTGTCAGGGCTGTGCAGGGCTCAGACCCTCACGTCTTCCCAGACTGCCCAACTGAGGGGACCCTAGGCACCATCAGCAAGACCACAATGAGGAGCATGTCTTGGAAAATGGCAAATACCCCCATATCACACCAAGGTGGGAATGGTTAGGGAAGCTTGACTTCCAGGTGTGCTGGTGTAGAGACATGGTGAACACCTGAGCTGCTTGGAGTGACTCAGCCCCACCCTAGCCAGGTGCTTCTGGGGCAGCACCAGCTTTCCCCCTTTCACCTGAAACAAATTAAATCCTGGATTTAAAATATGCTATTAGAAACCGTAGCGCAGTGAGGAGGACAGGGGCTCAGCTGGAGGAGGGACAGCTCTGTTTGGGCAGGCAGCAGCCCTGAGTGCGTGGCTGGGGAGGGAAGCATGGCTGGGGGCACTTTGTCTCAAAACATTCAAATTGCTTGTAAAAGGTTAATTACAGCTCATCAAGCATTTAATCAGTTGTTACGGCCCAACTGTTTTATAACTCTTGGGTTTACATGCCCTGTGGCTGGTGAGTGTGGATTGCTGGGCTCTGCTCCTCCCTGTTGGACCAAGGCTCTGTCTTACCCAGTTTAATGTTGTCAGGGTGGCAGTGAGGGCAAGTTTTGGCCGGTGGGAAGTGGCTCAGGCAGCATGGATCCAGCCATGTGTACACAGCAGAGCTATGTGGAATGGTCACTTAATGAAGGCCCTGGGTAATTTGTGGGGCCATCCAAGTAACACCATGGCAGGAAGCTGGTGGCATGGTGGCACAGCCAGGCTATGGCTCCCAGGGCTTCAAGGCAAAAAGTTGCCTGGAGTAAATAGAGGAGAAGATAAAGGGACAGGGATGAGCACAGGGAGACAGGAGGTGGCATTCAGTCCACAGGTGTCTGTGGTTTTGTCTGCCAAAGAAGTAGTTAAACATGAGACCAAAACCATGGGGCACTGCTGGGGGAACAGTTCCCCAAGCCCTGGCTGTAGCCAAAAGCTGCCCAGTCATAATGCATACCAGAGCAGAGCCAGTGGTGTGCACAGAGGGATGTGCTGGAAATCCCACTACCTGGGATTGGAGGTGCCCTGGGCGGACAGGGCCGGAAACATTGAGGGAGCTCCTGTCGCCTGGCTGGGACTGAGCCCAGATACTGGCAGTGCCCGGTGCTGACTCCTCCACCCAGTGCATCTGCAGCCTGTGCTGCACCAGGTGAAGGAGTGGGGCGTCCCACAGCCACGATGAAGCAGTGACCAGCATGGTGGCTGGCTATATCCTACAGCTGTGGACTGCAACAAGTGTTGCAAGGAGAGATGATGCCAGCATGGTGGGAACAAGCCACACATATGGTGGCCATGGTGGCAGCTGTGAGGACCTCTGCTCACAGCTCCCAGGCAGCACTGCAGGTTTGCAGTGGGTCCAGTGGGACGAACGCCCACAGCTAAAAGGGGGTGGCCAGCTGCTTTGCCAGGCACTGGCAGGTTTGCACTGGCGTCCACAACCAGCAGCTGGTTGCCAGTGCTGCCATGTCCCCACCCAGCTCCCACCATGGTGACCCTCCATCCCAGGAGCTGCTAATGGGCATCATGTGGTCACACTGGACCCTATGGAGGATTTGCCCCAGGATGAGTTGGGTGGCCAGGATGCACTGTCACTTGTCACAGCTGGACAGAAATAGTGTGAGTAGGTTGAAATGTGCTAAAACCCAGGGACAGGCAGAAGGGGCTGAGAGGAAAGCCTGCCCATCACTGGCGGCAGTGTGGGGGGACGGATACTGCTGCTGGGCTAAATATAGTCCCCG